AATGAAATCCTTCCTGACTTGGATTTTAGTGATCTCGAAACTTGTATGGATTGTATTAAGGGCAAACATACCAAATACACACAAAAAATGAGTACAAGAAGCACACAACTTGAAATAATACACACCGATATATGTGGGCATTTTGATGTTCCATCATTTGGTGGAAAAAAGTATTTTATCACCTTTATTGATGACTTTTCACGTAATGGTTATGTCAATCTGCTGCATGAAAAGTCTTAAGCTATAAATGCTTTAGTGATATTTGTCAATGAAGTTGAACGATAATTAGATAGAAAGGTGAAAATCATTAGATCTGATAGAGATGGTGAATATTATGGAAGATATGATGCAATTGGACAACGCCGTGGTTCATTTGCTAAATTTCTTGAAAGAGACGGCAAATGTTCTCAATACATTATGCCAAGCACACCACAACAAAATGGTGTAGCTGAAAGGCGTAATCGTACTTTAATAGAAATGGTTAGGTGTATGTTAAGTAATTCTTCTTTACCCATTTCTTTGTGGATGTTTGCATTAAAGACGATCGTATATTTGCAAAATAGGGTTCCTACTAAGGCAGTTCCAAATACTCATTTTGAATTGTGGAGGGAATGAAACCCAATTTAAAGAACCTACATGTTTGGGTGGATTTTTAATCCACATGAAAAGAAACTAGATTCAAGAACAATCGGTGGATTTTTCATTAGTCATCCAAAAAAATCAAAGGGGTATAGATTTTATTGTCCTTAACCATAGTACTCGCATTGTTGAAACTAGAAATGCTAGGTTAATTGAGAATGGTGAAGTTAGTGGGAGTTTGGAACCACGAAATATGGAAATACAAAAAGTTAAGAGTTCAACTTTCTCTGCTTTCAACTTCTTCTAATGTTGTTGTTCCTCGAATTGTTGAACAATATGACAAATTACCAGAACAACAAATAAATGATCAAACATCCCATAATGAAGTTTCTACTAATGAACCTGGACTAAATGAACCACAAAAAATATAATTGAAAAGGTCACAAAGACAACGTAGACCTGCTATTTCTAATGACTATGTGGTTTACCTGCAAGAGTCTGAACTTGACTTAGAAATTGTTGATAACGATCCAATTTCGTTTTCACATGCTATTGAGAGTGCTAATTCTGATAAGTGGTTAGATGCTATGAAAGATGAGTTAAAATCTATGGAACATAATGAAGTCTGGGATTTCTT